TTGAGAGAGTCTCACTCTGTCGCCCAGGCTAAAGTGCAGTGGCACAAACTCAGCTCACTGCAACCTCTGCCTCTGGGTTCAAGCAATTCTTCTGCCTCAGCCTCCCGAATAGCTGGGATTACAGGCACCTACCGCCACACCCGGCTAGTTTTTGTATTTTTAGTAGAAACAGGGTTTCACCATGTTGGCCAGGCTGGTCTCGAACTCCTGACATCAGGTGATCCACCCGCCTCAGACTCCAAAGTGCTGGGATTACTGGCATGAACCACCACACCCAACTGAAATGTTCCTCTAAATAATAATAATAACATAATAATAAATAAAATAAAATATAAATTTAAAAAAAAGCTAAAACCAAAAGAATGCCAGGGGCAGGTGCAGTGGCTTACTCCTGTAATTCCAACACTTTGGGGGCCTGAGGCAGGAGGATCTTTGGAGCCCAGGAGTTTGAGACCAGCCTGGGAAACATAGTGAAACCCCCATCTCTACAAAAAATAAAAAATTAGCTGGGTGTGGTGGTGCACACCTGTAGTCCCAGCTACACCGGAGGCTGAGGTGAGAGGATTGCTTGAGCCCAGGAGGTCAAGGCTGCAGTAAGCTATGATTGCACCACTACACTCCAGCCTGGGCAACAGGATAAGATTCTGTCTGAAAGGAAAGGAAAGGAAGGGGAGGGGAGGGGAGGGAAAGGGAGGAAAGAGGAGGGAAAGGGAAAGGGAAAGGAAAATAGCATAACAGTTTCCATTTCTAATTTTATTGCAAAAGTAATTGTGGTTTCTGCCATTACTTTTAGTTAACATAATTAATGTAATTAATGCCATTAAAAGTCATGGCAGGCTGGGCGTGGTGGCTCATGCCTATAATCCCAGTACTTTGGGAAGCTGAGGTGGGCAGATCACGAGGTCAAGAGTTCGAGACCAGCCTAGCTAACACGGTGAAACTCTGTCTCTACAGAAAATACAAAAATTAGCTGGACGTGGTTGCGGGTGCCTGTAATCCCAGCTACTCAGGAGACTGAGGCAGCAGGATTGCTTGACTCCAGGAGGCGGAGGTCAGAGGTTGCAGTGAGAAGAGATCATGCCAATGCACCCCAGCCTGTGCGACTCCATCTCAAAGAGGAAAAAAAAAAAAAAAAAAAAGAGCTGGGCGCGGTGGCTCAATCCTGTAATCCCAACTTGGGAGGCCGAGGCGGGCGGATCACCTGAGGTCAGGAGTTTGAGACCAGCCTGACCAACATGGAGAAACCTAAACCTCTCTACGAAAAATACAAAATTAGCTGGACATGGTGGCGCATGCCTGTAATCCCAGCTACTCAGGAG